GTTGTTGGACCGCGGTGATTTGCTTCGGGTCGACCTCTATGCCGCGCTTGGTTATCATGAACCCTAGAAATTTCCCCGCCTCTGCTCCAAAGACACATTTGAGCGGATTGAGGCGAAGGCTGTGCTTGCGGAGGGCTTCGAAGGTCTCGCGTAGGTCCTCCAGGTGTGACTTACCCGCCTTGGTTTTGACGATAAGGTCGTCTACATACGCCTCGATGTTCCGGCCGATTTGCTGCGAGAAAACTGCGTCGATCATTCTTTGGTATGTCGCGCCCGCGTTTTTCAACCCGAACGGCATACCCACGAAGCAGAAGTTCCCGAAAGGCGTCATGAAGGCCGTTTTTTCTTCATCTTCCTTGGACATTTGGATTTGGTGATATCCTGAGAACATGTCGAGGAAGGACAACGTCTCGTGGTCGGCGGTCGCGTCGATCAGCTGGTCGATGCGTGGCAGGGGGTAAGGGTCTCCCGGGCATACTTTGTTGATTGTGGTGTAGTCGACGCACATCCGCCAGGCTCCTGACGATTTTTTGACTAAGACCACGTTCGCCAGCCACTTCGGGTACTTCACGGGGCGGATCAATCCGGCTGCTAGCAGGCGCGCGACCTCCTCTTCTATCGCCTTCAGCTTGTCCCCGGTGAACGTCCTCCGCCCTTGTTGCCTTGGTTCGGCGCCGGCTGGAACCGCGAGGCTATGCTGCGCTACCTCCCTGGGCACTCCTGGCATGTCCTCTGTGCACCACGCGAAGAGCTCCTTGTACTCCTTCAGCAGCGTTATGAGTGGTTCGATTGCGTTGCTGCTGACGTGAGTGGAGATGCGTATCTTCCTGGTCGGCTCAGCAGGGTTTAGCGCGACCTCGAAATCGGAATCCATGGATTCCGGGCGGGGCTCTTCTGCTCTTGTGTCGACGATGTTGGTTTGGCGTGCCACAACGCGGTCTTCCCAAGTCGTTCCTCGCGCCTCCCCGACTCCTCCCTGTGTTGGAAACTTGAGCTTCTGGTGACACGTCGACGGGAGGGCCATGAACTTCGCGAGGAAAGGTCGGCCCAAGATGCCATTGTGCGCCGATTCGCAATCGACGATTGTGAACTCTATCTGCTTGGAGACGCGGGGCTCCTGGTCCCCAATAACTACTGGGAGGGTGACCACTCCAATTACCGGGACTCTGGTTCCGGAGAAGCCAACCAAGTTGCCGTGTGCGCGCCTGATTAGGCGCGGATCGATATCCATTTTGTTGATGGTATTCTGGAAGAGGATGTCGGCCGCGCTACCCCCGTCTATCAGGAGACGGTGGGTCTTGCAGGCGGCGATCAGCGCGGTGACGATGAGTGGCTCCTCCGACGGGATTCCTTGTGGGAACTCCGCGTCGCCGAAGCTCAGGTTGAACTTCGGCGGTGCGTCGACGGCCGCGCACTCCTTTGCGCGCTCACGCTTGGTTTTCTTCTTGGGACGATCTCCTTCGACCGTTACCACCCCGATCTCTTTGCGCACTACATATGCGCCTGTGTCATCGTCGTAATCGGTTTGTGGGGGTGGGGGTGGCTGTTGTGGCGCTTCGACTTGCTCCTTTTTCACGTGGGTGAATTCAGTTAGCAACCCTCGTCGTACGAGGCCCTCTATTTCGTACCGTAACTCTCGGCATTCTTCTGTCTTATGCCCCGTTGCTCAGTGGAATTCACAATGCCTGCTCCGGTCGCGCATGTAGGGTTGAGACTTCAGCGGGGCAGGCCAGTTAATCTTGTATCCTTTCTCGCGGAGGACGTGGAACACGTTCTTCACGGAGTCATTGAGGGGCGTGTAGGCATTGGATACGCGCCTGTCTGGCGATCGCCCGCGCTGTCCCTGCTCCGGTGGGGGAGGGGGGTTGCGCTTCGGACCACTGTGCATCTGAAGTAGTTGGTCCCGTGGGATGGGGGTCGGGGGTTGTCGACGCGTCTGTTCCTCTCGCGACATTCTCGCCGGTTCGAAGCGTCTGACGGATCCCGCCCCCAAGGTTTCTTCTAACGTGATTGCTTTCTCGATCTTCATCTCCAACTCCGTTGAGAGCGTGACGGGCCTTTTTGCTAAGGCCCGTTTGAGCTCCATATTGTTGGTCGCCTCCATGAGGTGATGGGCGGCTGTTTCGGGAGTAAGGTCACGAACGGACATTGCTACCCTGGACCATCTGGCGTAGAAAGCCCTCAGGCTTTCTCCGTCTTTTTGCCTGATATCAATCAGGGCCTTGAGGTGGAGGGGGCGTCGCTTCTGGGACGCGAATTTTGTGGTGAACAGAAGTATGAACTCCTCAAACGAGTTGATGATTCCATTGGGGAGGTGGTTGTACCAATCGAGGCATATCCCGGTGAATGTCGAGGGGAAGGTTCTGCATAGCGCGGCGTTGGAGTTGGTTTGGAGTTGCATGCGCAGGCAGAAAGTGCTCACGTGGTCCTCCGGGTCGGTAGTGCCGTTGTATGTCGGGAGGGTTGGTGGCGCTCCGGTTAGGTTCTCTGCCATTATTTGCGCGCTCAATGGCTGGTGTAGGGTCCTTTTGGGCGGGTTGGGTCGGTATTGCGGAGTCAGGTGTTGTTCCAAGAAGCTGAGGTCTGCCCGCCCCGGTGGTTCGACTTCCTGTATCCCGCGCGCGGGAAGTTCCGCTGGCGCGAGTTGTGACGACAGGATTGTCCCTGAAGTTTCTCCCAAGGCTTGTTGAGGCGCGATCGCTGTCGCGTCCGTCGTTGGCGCGCCTTCCTTGCTCATCATGAGCGCGATTACCTGGCTCATTTGTCTCTGCACGTCGGCTATGACGTTGTTTTGTTTCGTCAACAGCTCCCTCATTTCTTTGGGCGTCAGCTCCGGCTCTTCTTCCTCGATGAGTACCGCGTTGAGGTTGCTGGCTTCTGCGAACGCCCTTGGGTCAGTCATCGCCTTGATCGGCGTTGCTTGGTCAGGTTGTTCAAGATTGCGCTCTGCCATTGGTGGATCTTTTTCAGCGTTTCCTCTCGGCCCCACGGTGGGCGCCAATTGTTTGAACCTGACTGAGTGTAGGAGTGAGGTTCGAAGGAGAGTTTGGGTCGAGAAGAAACGCGAGAGCCGGGCTAGATCAGAGGAACCAGAATCAGAGAGTTGAGTGAGAAAGAGATTAGAAAGAGAAGTAGTTCTTGTAGAGAGAGAATGGTGAAAAATGCGATCCCCCCTACCCACCGTAGTAAATGCCATATTTATAGGCTTCATGGTGGTGGGTGAGTGGTTGACATAGGGAGAGATACAGTGATGTGACTACTGGGATACAATGATGTGACCACTAGCACACTAAGGCTTTTAGGCCATCCCTCTACCTAGGATGAGTCAGAGATCCACTCATGGCCCTGATGTGACTACCCGCTTGGAAGAGGTGCGCTTCCCTCATCTTCTGGTTCAGCCTACGCTAGTCCTCCCCTAGCGCCTGTCATCTCTTCGCGCCTGGACGTGGTTAGCCATGATGAGGCGGCACACTCGGGGTCCTCGCGCTGCCGTGTTGGGGTCTCATCCAGTTGCGCCCGGTTCCTTGGCGTGGTTAGGCCCGAGTCCTATGCCCAACAAATTACATATCCAAAAGTTTATCTTTCTTGAAAATGATAACCGGGTCATCATACATTATAATAAATGAGAGGGAGGATAATAGGAAATGTTGGTGAGATGTCTTTAATCCTTCTTTGATAAGGATTTCGTGCAAACTTCCTTTTCTTTTGTCAAAGGGGGACACATGTTAGGTTGTGGCCTTTGCAGGACATGTACATGGAATCCGTATCACCAATGGACCACCCACATTTATTTAATCCCACTAGTGGCTGTAAGCTCACTAAACCCTAATTTCTGAATTCCAATGGGAAGTTTCTTTTATTAGTTTACATGGCCATGATCAAAAGGGAACTCATTCAATCACCAAACCTAAAAAAAAAAACGTACATATCACTGCACAAATGCGATAATGACCTTCCATTAAAAAAAAAAAAATAGTTTTGTTGTTTGTTTATCTTGAAAGTGAACTCATTTTGATCTTATTGATGAGTTGTCTCTACCTTTCTCTTGGTAGTCTATTTTTTTTATTCCACTTTGAAAGTTACCTTAATGCACTTCTTGGTTCTACTTCTTTGAGTTTCCTGATCATAATTCACAACTCAATGAAGGAATGTGTTTGCTAAAAATATATTAGTGTGGGAAATACATATGTGCTTGGAAAGAGTGTATTGTTTGAAGGTATACGTATAAAGAGTTATATGTTGGGTGAATGAACTATACATGTATTCTAAAAAGCGTGTTGACTAAGAGATGTACGCGTCTAAACTTGAAAGAATGAATAGATTCACTACAGTAGTAGAGCTTATCAATATATCTTACCATATCAATTGGAAAGATGATGTAGATAATTTTAGTGGGATGATGAGATGAGAGTGTGATGTTAATAATTTGATATCACTTGTCACAACCATAAAAAAAAAACCCATAACCAATCAAATAATGAAAGAAGACATTGATTAATTGATCTGACTTTTTTAAGATAAACGCTCAATGGTCTCATCACGCAACCTCTCCTTTTGTTTGTATTCATTTAGCCTAGACGTGGATATAATATTTTGGAATTATTGGAGGGGTTAGTCCACGTAATCATGGAATCACACACATAAATCCACTAAACTAATGTTTGGATTCTTTCGAGTTTGCTTATGTATCAAACCAAATCGTCTCATTGTTTGTTTGTCCAATTCTTATTTGTTTTTTGTGAAATCAATGACATGCATGGTTTCCTCCCACCAATCACTAGTTAAAATGACTAGGACAATTGTATGTATTGTGCTACCTTGGGAGAGAATCTTTCAATGGGATTATCATAGATTCCTCACTAAGACCTTGAGAGTGAAGATGGGTGATGAAATGTGTGGACATGGCTTCGAGTACATTGGGCCTGAATTAGGCCATACCACCCCGTTTTCAGGCCCAAAATGTCGTTACCGGCCGGCCCACGAGTCAACGCCGGCGCTCACTCTCTCTCTCTCTCGTCTTCTCCGCCTAGCAAAATTTTCAGCTCAGACAACAAGATCTCGAGTAAAAAAAGCTCTGAACTTTCGACAGCTTCAGCTCGAAATTTCATTCCCCAGCTGCCATCCAGACTCCACTCACGCTTTTGTGACGGCTTATGCACAGGTCGCCACCAACCAAGCTCGAAGAAGCAAAACCCAGGCGCGCAGAACTTGAAAGCAGGGAATTCAGAGGAGAAAGGGAGGAAATTTTAGGGTTTTGGTGAGTAGAAGAAGAAGAAGAAGGAAATGGCGAATCAGGGAGCTAAGAAGCGCAAGGAAGAGAACTCCCGCCACATGGCTAATCTACTCCGTATCATCATCGCCTGCAATGTAAGGAACACACGAAAAAGAACCTATCTTTCGAAATGGGATTTGCTTCATTTACTGTATTGAAGTAGCTGAATTGGGGAATTTCTGGTGGTTGTGTGTTATTAGGCCATATATGTTGTGGTGAGGCTGCTTATTTTCCATTCGAGCTTCTCATGGAAGCACTGGATTGGCCTGACCCTGACATCTCTTGCGTATTACTTACCTTACCAACAACTTGCTTCAATGGCGAAGCCTAGTTATGGTGATGATGGGGAGCTTTTCGATGGTGGGTTTGATATGAGCACTGGTGGAATATGTGGGTATGTCTGATTTTCAGTTGAATTGTCAGTTATGCATTCTCAGTTTTCTTGTTTCCGTCTGTTGCAAATGTTAGATTAGTTGTTTCAACAAGCTTAAAGAGTACTCATTTCTTCGATTGGTTGCAGCTATCTTCACGATGTTATCTACATCACCAGCTTTGTGCAGATTGCGTCCATACTGTCTGATAAGTTTTGGTACACTTATCTTGTGGTAAGAGGCTCTTTAACTTGAACTTGGCCGAGAATCAAGATATTACGAGTCCTGCCAGCATGGCGGTGTTGTAGTAATGAACTTGTTAGTTATTATTGCAATGCTAGAGTTGATTATGGGTCTCGATGATTGAAATGAGACTGCAGGTTTTGAGCATAGAATAATAGTGAATGAATATCTATGTTAAATTCCACATCGACAAGGATTATCATATTGGGAAAAGAGTTGATATTGTGTTAATATTAGAAAAGGTAGCAAGGGGTTCATAGTACTTATCTATCCAGTAATCCTTATGACTGTTCAGATACCGGCATTTGGAGTGTACAAATCTTCCGGATTGATCAAAGGATTATTATCACAATTCATGCCACAAGGCTCCGAGGTAATCTCTGTTCCAGCTTTGGTGAACTGCAAATCCCATTATTAACAGCACAAATGGATTTGAGTAAGAAATTTTGTCTGTGTTTTGGTTGGTCAGGGAGCTGAGGAGGATGAGAAGACTCGTAAGAAGAGAGAAAAGATGGAGAGGAAAGCTTCACGAGGCAAGTTTGTCAAGACAAGAACCAGGTGAGATTAGATTAGGTACTTAGATGAAGCTGAGTCCTCTTGAAGGTTACTTACAGTTTGTAGACAAGAAGAGTAGATGCTGAACAAGCTTAGTCTAAGCTTGCTAAAGAGGGGGAATAGTTGTTAGAAGTGAAAGCTACTTTCTTTCCGTTTACATGTGTGATGCGACTTTTGGCTTGGGATGTATGGCAGACTAAGGGGTCGTTTGGAAGTTGGAACCCGTTATATCTGATTCTTAAGAATGTGCGTTGTCTGAGAATGTGTGCATTCAAAGCAGGGGGGAATCTGTATAATGTGCTTGTTTTGAAAATGTGTGTACTTTTAGTTAGGAGAATTTGTAAATTAGTTGATTGGAAGAATACATCATTCGGGCAGGAATTGGGTTGTAACTTGTAACTGTGCGGAGACAAATAAGAAAAGGTAAGTTGGATTTGAAATGTTATGCTACGATGGACTTGTAGGTCGATAGTACCATGGCAAGAGTGCAATCCTAGCATGACGTGTATTTTAGTTCTGGTGATTTTTTCGTGCTTATGTTGTCGATCTGGGAACGCTTCACACCTCAAACAAGCATTGTGTCACATCACTGCAAGTGTAGAAAAGAAGATGTTACATGTATGCAGGAAAAGGTTCATACCTAACACACAGATCATATCGCATAACATGTTCACTAATGCTCACAAAAATATGGTTGATCGCATTGAAGATTGGTTACACTATCTAACCTCTATACACTTTACTTTCTTCTATAAACTATCTAACTTAGGCGCCCTGCTCTTTATCAAGTCAGTATATATGATCGAGTGCGGGCTTCTGACGTCTACAAGTTCCCTTAAGCTCACTCGTCCAAAACATTACTGCATTCAGTTCTCCAGGTTCAACTAAAAGTGAACTTGCAAGGCAGATTTCAGAAACCTTGCTGTACAGTCATCATATGTCGTGTATCGGTTGCCAAACTGGTATGATTTCATTATCAGTGACAAGGATGAGTTCTGGCTGTAGAGATCTCGAGTTAAATTGCTCAGGAACAGAGGAGACAGGTACCGTTTCACAAACATGTATACATACAACCACTATAATATGTGTGAATCGTTACTATTTCGCCCGTCTTTGCACCATGATGTCCCTTTCTGTTCTACAATCTAGTTTCTATATATCCCTACAATGCTGGAAACAAATTCTACAGCAAAAACAGGGAAGACTTCATCAGGATCCCTGAAACAGTTTGGTTTCTGTTCCATGGTTATATACAAAGACCAGAAGAATCATCCCCAGAATTTGGCCAAGCTTTTCTTCCTCTTCTTTTCAAAGGAAGTTTTGAAGAACTATGCACAACAGGTTATTAATTGACAACAACAGCTTACTGAGAGCGTATGCATCCTCATCACACCATTTGAAAATGTTGTTCATTGCCTGATCTGGCAGCTAAAAGATTAAATTCGCGCTCCAAACTCCATTTCGGATCGCTTGGGCCATTGAAATCTAAAATATACTCTTGAAAGTACCCGTTATAGTTTATCACTGCAAGGGTGGCCCTGAAAAGATAACATACAGGAGGAAGTTAAGGTGACTTCAGCCGATCGTAAACATAGCTAGTTTATCAGAGGTGAGAAAGAGGGGTCTTTACTACCTTAACCCTATAGCAACATGAGTTGCTGGTGCTTCAGCAGCTTTCTCAACCTTGCGCACAACTACATAGCTGCAGTGAATGGCGAGATCATAAGGACATGGAAGAAATAAGTGATAATCAAAGAATTGGACTAGTTCTACAGCAGCGAAAAAGAAACCGTTAAATGGACTATCTTTTTTACCTTCTCACTCCAGCCGGAACCGCTCGGTGAAGAACGTGGTGATAAGCCGGATCCAATGCATCGTTCACTGAATCAGGCAATATGGATCCCAGAAAGCTCGTCGATCTCTTGCCCCTGCTACCCAAAAGAGATTCAACATGAAAAAATCGAAAATGGCAATGATCAGCAGAACTAATAACATTGTTTCCCTCACCTCTGATTTACAGCCATGCTCAGGGGAAAGGCATGAACGGAACCTGAAGAGCTAGTTGCTACAAGAATGTCTGGAAGCTGCGAAGATGGTCCAAATGACAAGGAATATATTGTGGATGGGTATGTTCCCCTACGGAAGCTATATGACTGCATGAGTGAAAGAGACAACAGAGAGAGCCTAGTTATGCCCAATGCAACTATAATTAATGATCAAAAGGAAGCTGGTGATTGGAATTCCACCTTTGTCGCGTCAAGAACATGATGAACTCTGATTATGGTTCCTTGTTCGGAAGCTGTTGCAACGTATGTCCCACTGGAAGAAAGAGACATTGCAGCCAAGGGTGCACGGTGGGCATCTATCTGCAATTGAATTCCATGATATAATCACAAATTCGCAAGCAGAACTAGAACATTGAGAGAGGATGCGGAATTCGCATGTTGAATCATTTAAAAATAGGTAGAGATACCATTATCAACCACAACCTCGCAGTGTAAATGGACTTCCATGACATTGTACAGCAAAACCGATCCTTTACTCGTACTTGCAGGAAGTGCCAGAAAGCAACCATCCAAACTAGGGGAGAATGCACAAAGCCCTGTAAGTTCATAATCATGAAAAGAGTTGAGTTAACTAAAAGACATGGTTTACATAGTTTACCAACTTAAGGTATGATGAACAAACAACCCCAAGTTCAATACATATCGAAAATGCTACCCCTCAAGTAGTCTCTGGACATGGTAATGCAAGTGTGTTCTTCAATACAGAATAACCAATACCTTTTGGATTCGGAATCGTATCAATGGTGTCCAAAATAGCTAGGCTGTTCGAGTCGTAGATAAAGGTCTTCTCTTGCAAAACCACCACAAGCCTGCAACGAGTTTAACATCCCAAAAGAAGAAAAACAGTGAGCAAGCTAACTATTTGGTCCTGTAGAACCAAGTTTCAAACACCTGGAATACATTTTTCAGTCACCTTTTCTTGTTCAAGCGAACTGCGAGGATAGAAGTGAGGAAATTCAGCTCACGGAGAGAAGTTCCAGTGGTGGAATTGAACAGACAGAGTCGTCTTGGTGATAAAGATGGCTGCTTTTTCACACCCAATTCACGAAAGCGTAAAAAGATCAAAACTTGCATACAGATAAAGGAGAAAACGGTGATACACCCCCAAAATTTCCAAAGCCAAACGAACCTGCTCACCAGCTCCAACAATGGCGAGAAGGCTAGAGCTATACAGCATCTCCACAATCACGAACGCTCCAACAGCTAAAGATCGGAATTCCCCCCGCACAAACAACACAATTTCAGAAATCACCCCCAACAAATTGATGAACTGAGGGAAAGCTAATTTCTTGATGTGGAAAGGGAGAACTTGCCTCGTTCGTAGCAGAGGCGGCCGGTGCTGGAATCGTAGATTTTGAAGCCGTCTTTGGTGGCGATCGCGAACCCACTGCCGAAATTGTGAATTCATGGTGGAAATTCAATAAGACCTCTGAGAGAAGAAGAGAAAGAAAGAAAGAAAACCCTTCTTGAAGCTTGAGATGTTTCATTCAGCTCACCTGTTGTCCTGATTGAAAGAAGCGCACAGAACCGAGTAGGATGGAGAGGAGGAGGACTGATGAGCCGCCATTGTTGCAGCTTTGACGGATTTTGGATTTTGTATTTTTGATTTTGGGGGATTGGAATTCCGGGAAGAAAACGGAATGGGTGGAAATGGTAACTGAAATTCTTCCGTTACCAGATGCTTACAAGTGAAGTCAATAGTTCCTTTCGGATAATAAAACCATATTTAGTTATTTACAGGGAAGATGGCTAATTGCATTGGAAGCCATCGAAATTTATGTAAACTTGTGAAGTGAAGCACTAAAAGTGATTAATTATGCATAAAAAAAAAGACGGTACTATGTGGTAGTCTTGTATCTACACAAATTTTAGCATTAATGTAAGGCTGCAAAAGAGTGGAGTTGAGTTGAATTTTTTACTCGGTTTGAGCTCAACTAGTAAAAGATGACTGACAAACTCACTTGAGTTTTGAAATGTCTAGTTTGAGTTCGATCTGTTTACTAAAGTATCGCCTCGAGCTCAATTCACTAATGAGCTTGCGATCTTATTTGAGCTCAATTCACTAATCAGCCTAACAAAATAGAGTCGGGAAAAGTTCACCAACAAGCAAACTACCAACTGCAACACGAGTCAAATTTCATTTGTGGTCAAAGTCACACCACACTTAATGAACCCATCTTCGACCAGTCCTAAATGGCTTCTAAGTCCACAATCTACTAAATAGGATGTCCGTGAGCATAAAGCGAGTCAGCCTGCAAGTTGAGTTCGTTGAGCCACCAAGTTGTTCTGACGCGTGAGCCTCACTGCTGAAGAAGGTCTAACTCTAATTCTGTCTTCTTCTTTTTTTGTGAATTTTTCAGGGGATCTATCCAAAATGTTATATTTCGAGAAAGTTCATCTAAAATCCACGAGATCCAATCTTCAATCCAAAATGAAAAGTTATATAACTTCTAATCCATACAAAGTTTAATAATTCATTTTCAAGTGGACTTCATCTTTAAAATGATTCTGCTAATGATGTAAATTATTCGACCTCCAAAATACTACTAGTTGAGTTTGGATTTGCATCTACACTTTTTAATTATTCTAGGAATTAGATAGAAAGAATCATTTCTACCAAAAAAAAAAAAAGATAGAAAGAATCATCAACTAGAGAAAGACAACAGGATATGTGGTAAGATTCTCTTTATGGGATGATCATATCAGTAATTTATTCGAAGCTGAGAAGAGATTTTGGACCAATACAATTACAAAGTTAGGAAATTGGCGAGAGTCATTTGCGCCACGGAGACTCATCATCGTTGAGATAGAGAAAGAGAGGGAGAGATTCCGCAAACTCTTCGGCAACCCTCCGGTGACTCCGCCGTCGTCATCCTCGGCCAAACCGGAGAGCCCCTGCCGTGCTCTGCCGTTCAATCGTAAGGGCCTTCCCCCTTTTCTCGCTTCAACAACTGTTTTCTACTCCTTCGCTGTTGGCTTCGGTCATTTCTTGGCCTGGTTGTGATTTGATAGAACTGTGATGAAGAGTGGTGCCGGCCGATTGCTCTGTCGCCGATAAAGTTTAAAGCTTTTTCGTCTTATCACCGAGGATTGTGTGAACTACATTCTGTTAATGAATTCTTGGCCTCTGTGCTGTGATCTTTTCTTGTTGGACCTCAACCTGTGATCTTTGGCAGTAGATTATAAGGACCGAGGAGAAATTGAAACATTCTTTATGTTGCTTCCTTTATGCTGAATGTAACTTTGGGAAACTGGCAAACTGCCATAACCCTAACCCATACAGTCACTCTTAACGAGTTTCTGTGTATTGTCTTGTGAAAACCTGCTTATTGATGTTCATTGTATCCGATGGAAATTACATGGTTATGATGAATATAGAGTTCTTGTAGTATTGATGTTCCTGCTGCTGTGAAATTTTGTCAGATGGAAGGCCAGAGTCCAAGACATAGACAGATCATCGAAATAGATGCCCACCTTGCTTCAGATAGCAATAACAATGTTGGGGGATACAAGATATGTGCAGAGGCACCCTGTGGCTTCTCTGATGCACTAAGCAGTAATTCCGAAGAGGCCAAAGAACGAACAGCTTCGATGCGGAAGCTCCTGATGGCAGTGGCATTCTGTGTGCTTTTCATGGCTGTTGAAGTTGTTGGAGGGATCAAAGCTAATAGTTTAGCAATATTGACGGATGCTGCACATCTGCTTTCTGATGTCGCGGCATTTGCCATCTCGTTGTTCTCGCTGTGGGCTGCTAGTTGGGAAGCCACTCCACGTCAGTCGTATGGTTTTTTCAGAATCGAGATTCTTGGCGCGCTGGTGTCGATGCAGATCATATGGTTGCTCACTGGGATAATCGTGTATGAAGCGATTGTTAGGCTCGTTTATAACACAGGTGAGGTGGATGGCTTCCTGATGTTTTTGGTTGCAGCATTTGGTCTGGTGGTGAATATTATCATGGCGTTTTTGCTGGGTCATGATCACGGTCACAGCCATGGCCATGATCACGGTCACAGCCATGGCCATGATCACGGGCACGGCCATGGTCATGATCAGGGCCACAGTCACGGCCATGGTCATCATGACCATGATCACAGTCATGAAGATCATCATGATCATTTAGAAGAAGGGCACCAACATGTTGATGAAGAGAGTGCAAAGCCACTGCTGGACAAGAAGGAAAAGGGAGAGAAGAAACAGAAGAAAAAGAACATAAATGTCGAGGGAGCTTATCTTCACGTCCTTGGGGATTCCATCCAGAGCATAGGAGTAATGATTGGAGGAGCAGTCATATGGTACAAGCCTGAATGGAAGATAGTTGATCTAATATGCACCCTAGCCTTCTCAGTTATAGTTATGGGCACGACGATCAAGATGTTGAGAAGTGTTCTGGACGTCTTGATGGAGAGCACACCAAGAGAGGTTGATGCAACAAAGGTTGAGAAGGGGATTCTGGAGATGGAAGAAGTGGTGGCCATCCATGAGCTGCATATATGGGCCATCACGGTTGGGAAGATCCTCTTGGCTTGTCATGTCAAAATCAGGCCCGAAGCGAACGCTGACGTGGTGCTGGACAATGTTATAAACTACATCAAGAGGGAATACAACATTAGCCATGTCACAATCCAGATAGAGCGTTAATGGTGGAAGGGAATCAATTCAGCTCACCTGTTGTCTTGTTTGTAAGATTTGAGCTTTGAAGACCCATGTTTTGAGTAAAATGCAGGCCTTGCAATGCTTCAGAAATGAAGGAAGCTCTATGGGATCTCGAATTTGCAGCCAAAAGGTACAATCTTTACAGTTTACAAACACAGGGCTTTGAGGCAAAACCGCGAAAGGGGAAGATGTATCAAAATTAAACTACCTTTGTACCTTGCTGGTGGTTTGATTTGTGAATGGCAGAGGAACAATCCTGGTGCACAAAAGTGATTAAATCGCTAATCATGAGTGGCATTTTGTATGAATCACTATGTCAAATTTTTCTTGTTCGCTCTAACCTCAACTGAGTCATGTTTCTTCAGCTGTACATTAGATTGGTGAGTCGTTTATTTTATATCGATAGCTGCATGGAATTCATGTGTCGAGCATCCTTAATTGGCCATAGCTTCTGAGTCTGTCGTAGTGTTTTAATACGAATTTAGTATCATCACAATATAGAGGTCGATTGAGTTGCTTGATCAACATGATTCAGAGTTATGGTTAGTCAGAAGCAACAGAGAACGACCTGTAACAGCTTAGCCTTGCAGTCATCAAACCCCCTTTTGACTAGGGGAATCTCTGATCTCTGAGAAGAGGTCTCCGCCAGTAGTAGCTTTTGCTGATGAAAGAAAGAACACAACGGAAAAGTGTACTTCCTAAAAATATTGAAACCTCTTCTCAAATAACCACTGCCCAATAATGTTCTTGCATTTCCCCACACACCAAAATATGCCATATTTACATTGCAACCCAGAAAATATAAAACCAACCCACACTACATATCATACAATTTCATCTAGTTAAGCAAGAAAGATTTGATCTTTGTAGTATAAGAATTGATCATCCCAAAGACTTAAGAGCTGGAAGAAGAAAATGGAACACACAATGTAGTAGACTAGTAGTCATCATTTTCTTGTAAATCTGATCTATCTACCTGGGACCAGAGAGCTCCATGGCATAGGAATCCAAGGAATGTTCATCATCATCCTCATCTTCATAGTCATCATCAGCCATGGTCATGCCACCAAGCATGCAACTGCTGGAACGATCATTGCTCGATCCATTTTCGTCGTGCTTCTTCGATGATAATGTTCTCGTGGGCCTCTTGTGGTGGTTGAAGTTCATGGTGGGATGATGATGATCAGTGGTTAGAAGAATGCTGTGCGAAGCTGCCCATTTCTCGGCTAGGCCATCGCCTTCAAGCATGCGGACCACTTCGGACATTTTGGGACGATGGGCTGGGAGGTACTGAGTGCATAGAAGGGCTACTTGTAGCATCTCACCAACTTCAATCCTGTCGTAGCTGATTCCTAGCTCTCTGTCCACCAACTCTTCCACTCTATTTTCTCGCTGGATGATCTTCACCTAGTTTTAAGCACAAGGAAATGTCAGTTCTAACAGTTTTACTATACAGAATGTGGGTATGTTTATGTAGCTAAGGGGTTACCCATTCAAGCATAGCTCCTTTCTGATTGACACTCTTCCCAAACTCAAGGGCTCTCATCCCTGTGATGAGCTCTATCAGAAGGATTCCAAACCCAAACACATCTGTCTTGTCCGACGACTGGCCAGTGGAGAGGTACTCGGGAGCAATGTGGCCCACCGTGCCACGTACAGCAGTCGTGACATGTGAGTCAGCATGATCGAGAAGCTTTGCGAGGCCGAAGTCACCAACTACAGCCTCGTAGTAGTCGTCAAGGAGTACATTGGCTGCCTTCACATCTCTGTGAATGATCTTAGGGTCACATTGCTCATGGAGGTAGAGAAGTCCCCTTGCTGCCCCTATTGCTATCCTCTTCCTTGTATTCCAGTCCAACGCTGGCTTGGCTGCACATAGTCATTGATCATCAAGTTCCTCTGAAATCGATCCGTTTAAAACGACATAGTACACAAACACCCAAATAGTATGCAATGAACCAGAGTATTTTAAGTACCAAGTAGTAACATACCTCTAAGCCTCGAGGCCACACTGCCATTAACCATGTGAGGGTAGACCAACAGCCTCTCATTACTTGTAGCACAATACCCTTCCAACCTGAGCAAATTCCGGTGAACTGCAAGGCTGATCATCTCCAACTCCGTCCTGAACTGTGATTCGCCAGCCCTACCAGTCACATCCTTGAGCCGCTTCACTGCCACCAATGTCCCATTCCCCAACTTACCCTTGTAGACATTGCCAAACCCTCCACAGCCAAGTATGTTCGTCGAGCTGAAGTTATCTGTAGCTAGCTGGAGCTCCCTGAATGTGAAGCTTCTCAGGTTGCCTAGGCTTATTAGCCCCTCTTCTTGTTTATCTGAAAACATATCAAACCCCACAGGAAAACCAAGAATTTCAGGTTTTGGACAGACAGTTGAAGTCTGAAATGTAATTGAGGTGGCAAACCGGTCAGGCTAGGTAGTGGACTGTATCGGTTGGGTTATTAGGGGTTGCAGGTCATACACATTGGTTTGGGAAGGATCAATTTCACTATCTCACCATTAATGTTGAGCACAGTATGGCTTCTATGTCTCCTTCTATACCAAAGTACTCCAACCGCCAGAATCAAGAAAGTGACAAAGCTGAAACTGACTCCAACAGCAATGGCAATGTTCTTGGATTTGTGCTTCCCTGGAAATGAAGCACGCATCATCATTCGTACGCGAAATGACTATTAGTCTATTACGTTAGTTAGATCGTTCACGCGAAACAGTAAATAGAAAGGAGTGAAAATTTACCAGGAGATGAACCAAGAGAGAAAGGAAGAGGACCATAACTGGTTGAACCAAAACATCCTTCCTTACCAGTAGAGCTGCTGCTGCTGCTGCTGATTCCACATATCAATGGGTTACCAACCACACTGCATTTTAATATTTACCAACAAGAACAAAAGACCAAAAACATGTTAAGCCAAAGTGATTTTTTTTTTACCAATCAGATACAACCAAACTGGAAATCCCAGGAAACAATGTTTTGCTACACTTTACTTGAATGTTCTTGTGGGGAACTTGGGAACTGGTCCAGTGAGATTATTATAAGACAAGTCCCTGAAACATGCCCACAGAAGCAATAATTATCAGAGATTCTGAGATAGAAAGAAGAAAAAAAAGTGCTGCTGAGTATCAGGGAAGACTTTTTTTCCTGCTCATTTATCTGTTCATCAGCTGGTTCTGTTTCGGTTCTCTAGGCACTGAAACGCCATGGAATACCAACAAAAATACTACAGTGAGGACAAATGGCTTAATGACAAAAGAAATTTTGAAGCTAGTTAAACTGCATCAAACACCGAATCCGCTAAGTCTAACGATCGAACCATAAAATCGTACAAAGTTCGTAGCAAAATTATTTCATAGTTATTTTGAAAGTCGACAACTTTGGAGATTTATGGAAATATCAGTAATTCGTTGTGAAAGAATCACATCAAAATAATTTCATCTATCAAGCGGTTTTAAGGTTTAATGATAGAACTTTGAAATGATTGTTAACGAAATTTACCTATTTAGTTCGAGTAACCGAAAAGTCGTTAGATGTAACGTATGAATCAAAAATTGGTCCTTTCTAAATCGAACAACTGACATGCCTAACGATTTAAAGTTTAACGATGAAACCGTGAAAGAGTCTGTCTCAAAACTGTTCCATATTAATCTGTGCAACAGTGGCATTCAAAGAAACTCGATACTGATATACTCACAAGAAAGCAAGGCGTGGGATTTTGGCCAAGGACAGTGGGAAAGAGCCAGACAAGCTATTGTTGTTCAGCCTCCTAGCCTCATTTCCATGATGACACAACCCAACAAAAACAGAACACAACAGTAAACGTTAGAATCCCCAAAAAAAAAAAAATACTATAAACAACAAATGAAAATTGAAAACCCCGGGAAATAGGGCAGGAATTCATATGGATGGTTTTTGGTTTTTTCTCTCAGATACACACACTCACAGGTATTCGAGGGCGACTAATTGACCGAAAGAGTCAGGAACCGACCCAGAAAACCGGTTACTGGAAAGGTCCAGCGTTTGCAGCCTCGGCAGAGTCCCCATTTCTGGTGGGATTTTGCCTGAGATATTGTTGTTCTGCAACAACCTTCAAACCACACACACAGAAAAGGGCAGAATTTGGAATTCTTAGCAAATGGGATTCTTATCAGGACGAGGAAATGGGAAATTAACATTTTGGAAATTGAATTCCTCACACTTGGCGGAGATTGGTGAGATTGCCTATCGCAGGAGACAGAGTTCCGGACAGAGATTGACTGGGAGCTCCCCTGCCGTTAGAACACCACAGAGAAGAAAATTTTGAGCTTTACTTCCTGAGGTGTTTTCATTTTCTCGGGAACCAAACAAGCCGAAAGAGACAGCGGATGGAGGGGGGAAAAAACACTTACAAGCCAATGACGAGATTCTCAGGGGAGCATGTGACCAGAGCCCAGCTGCAAGGGTCGACAGAGTCTTCATCCCAGTTCTTGAAAACTCCATGGGGATCGTTCAGCCCTTGCCTTATGCTCATCAGAGCTTCGACTACAACGAAAACCCAGGAAAAAACCGGATGACAAATCGAGTTTGGAACATGGAAATGGTGAAAAGATTCTAACTTTTTTAGTTTTTTTTACTTTTACCTTCGTGGTTGCGAGGCTCGTAGGAAGAACAGAGTGAGAGGAAAACAGGGGAAATGATGAAGAAGAAAAACAGAGGAAGGAGGATCTTTGTGGAAGAAGAAGAAGCCATAATTTGGGGTTGGGACGAAAAGGTTAAAAAGCCTTGATCAATGATGGCGGTGATTATGTTCTACAGCCATGGAAGAGACGTAAACTGAAGGTGAAGGGGGTAGGGAGATAAATCGAAAAGGGAAGGGAAAGAGTGAGAGAGGAGAACCAGTAAAAGCAGGGGGAGAAGCAGAGCAAAAGGGAAACGGGAGAAAAGCCGTTGTGTGTGTATGTATTATTTTTATACAGTTTTAAAATGATTTACTTTTGCTTGCTCTCTTTCTCTTTTCAGGGAGCTAGCTTTTGTGCCAGCTCTCTGATCTCTTTTCTTTCTGTGTAGTGATCTTCTCTTTTTCTTTTGTAGATTGCAAGAGGAACAAATGGAAATGGGGAGACAAGAGAGAGAGAGAGAGAGAGAGAGGGTGTCAGGTGGGATTGGAGAATTGGGCAGAGTGACTGGAGACTTGAGAGAGAGATCAGATCAGAGATATAGATGGACAAGGAAGGAAAGAAAACATGATGAAAGACCTGCAGACAAATATATTTACCAGTGAGTACCTAAATACTCTGGATTTTATTCTAATCAGTAATCAGTGATACAGTTTCGTGACTTAAATATTGGATTTGACTGGTAAAACATCTTATGGTAATGCATTGGAGCCTGGACTGGAGTGATGGCTTTGTTGAGTACTGTGTAATAAACTAATAATTGAGGGAGTAAAAGATACTTTTCAAGTGTCACTTGGTTGCATCAACAAGCTTTCCAGAAGCCTTTCATATTAGCATCAACAAGCTTTCCAGAAGAGCACAAGTACAGAGCAATTAAGGAAAGGTGGAAAAATATGAAGATCTGAGGGAAGTTGCAGAAATTGATGGGAGAAGAGATCAGAGAAGACTGACATCCATGGATGGCTAGTTAGGGCTAGTAGTAGCGTAGCCTCATAGCTCTACCACCTGCTGCAAAATTGGCAGAAGTGAAAAATCAGAAGATGGGTTTTACAGCAAAGTGCTGTGTGGTTTTTTACTTGTTAAAGGCAGAACATGGTGGAGGATTCCAGCAAGAGCAGAGAGGGGAATCAAACTCTATTTATGGATGGTTTGATTTGAGTTGAGAGGCTGCTTTGAATTGCATCCTTTTGGTCCTGTCACAGCCTAGAGCCTCCTTCCTTCATATCATTCATCAACTGGAGGAAAGAAAAAAAATAGGAAAAGAGTTACTTGAATAAAAGTTGAAAGAGAATTTAATTTGATTGGTGTAATAAATAATTTTTCTATGTGGAACTGTTTTTTATGAATTTTCAATCAAAGGATATGAGTTGAGGTATGCATGTTGTTCCTTTTGATGCCCTGCCCTTCTCCCTCTCTGCCTATTACCACCACCAGTCTTATCTCATCATTAAGGCTTCTTTTCTTTAGTATTATCTATACATTTCCCAAAAAAAAATTATGTAAATCCCTTTTCTTGATTTAAAATGGGAAATAATATAATGATCACAAAAGATGTGTACGTACGAAGAGAAAGATACAAGATACGACGTTGAGAATCTTATTCTAGTTTGGATGTCTCGAGCTCAGAGTCGCAACATCTCAATCAACTCGAATGTTATGATGTGAGAGGTTGAAGGAGAGTGTCATAAGATGAGAGCAAGCACGTCAACACTATCTGATTCACGCAAACATTATATGGTTCACGCCAATACCATCTGGTTCATGCACATTCATCTCCAGACACGCCAAAACTATACGATTCACGCCAATTCATAACCATTCACATCAATACCATCTGATTCACGCACTTTAATCTCCAGTCACGCCAAAACTATACGATTCACACAAATTCATAACCATTCACTCTGATATCCATATGATTCATGCACATTCATCATCATTCACGCCGATACATATATCGTTCACGCCAAAACCTGTTAGAGAGTGGTATAAGATCTATAATTAACCTTCTCCCAATAACTCGAGTTATGGGGACCAACTGGTTTATGACATGGCACCAGAGAGTGGTTTGCCCAAGTGGCCATGTGCTCGAATCCCTACGACCCTCAATATTAATAGTTGAGTAAAGCACAAGGTATGATGGGGCTGAGCAAACTTCAAGGGCCGAGTAGCAATATTACATGGGAAAAGATCGAGCGGGGAAAACACTAATAATAAAGTATCATAGAAACCAGGGTTGGTTTCTACTTTCTAGCACGTTGCTTGAGCGCTTCAAATAGAAGTCGCCGTCGTTCCAGATCTCGCCTCAGCTGCTCCTCATCAGTCCTGCGCCGCCGCATGATCTGCTCCACAAGACTTACATTGGGGCGGTGGGCCTGCTGCTGCTTCTTCTTCTTCTTTGGCTCGGAGGAGGAACGACGACGACGAACCTGCAGTATCTTGAGGCGAAGGCGACGATGGTATTGGTTGCGCGATGTGTGGTCCTTGAGCACTTGGTAGGAGGATTGCAGCTTCTGGAACTTTTGTTTTGCCTTCTCGTCGTCGGGCCTCTTGTACGCTCGACGAATCTCCTCTGACGACAGCTTAAACCCATCTTCTCCTGAAGGCAGCCCCAGAACCGTATAGTGCTCATCCTCGCCTGCCATGGCTGTGATCTGGAATAGGTTTCGATAGATGGATGGTGCCTGATTTTATAGTACTAACTGACTAACGCGAGGATGAGCACTTTTTTGCGGGCCGCGGAAAGTATCATATGAAATTAGCTAACAAAATAAATCATATGTGTCATGATATACAAAATGAAGTACCAAATAAAAGTCAAGATATTATTAAATAAGTTAGCTCGAGCTCGACTCGATTCGACTCAAAGTGGGGTAAAACTCGACTCGGCTCATTTGCAACCCTACTCCCAACCATACAAACTAGAATCTCTAGTTAACACCAAATACAGCAGCTGAGCTAGTTAGGAATCCCACTCAACCGATCAGGAGAAGAAGGGTTTACTCTTCACTGCTACGAGGCTCAACTTCTCTTTACTGCTATGAGGCTGAACTTTCAGAAGGCAAGAGCCTGCTTCTCTTATCGACATTATAACAAAAGTACATTTTACGAATCAGAGAAGTGACCCGCTGCTGCATACTTCTCTTCCTCACTTAATCCGAGTCAGAATCAGCATCCAAAGACGATCTCACTGTCCTGCGACGGCTTTCGTCATACTCTTCCTCGTCATCCTCGTTGCCTTTCTTCTTCTCGCTAATGATACCTGCACAAGAAAGAGCAGTTGAGCTTCATAGACTTGAATGCCACGAGACTGGATTCTCGTGAATGCATACATCTAGTAGATAAAGTTCCTACCTTTCTTTATGAAGTAGTTCTCGATCCTTGTAGTTGGGAAGTCATCTTTACCACCGAGATCTTCGAATCCCACCAGTCTATCCGATGCAATCCCTTTCCTAAAACATGATTCTTTTTTGCTGCTTTCAGTACAGGAAGGACCGAGTATACATTTTCAGATAAAAGGAACTATTCTGTATTGACCTGAATAGTATGACGCAAGGCAGAGTTTTTATTCCAAGTTTAGCAACAAAGAAGGGAGCATTCTGCAATTAACACAGTACAAAATCAATCAGGATGCTAACTTGCATCAATGAGCAAAACAAAGGGTATCAGCAGACAGACCTCAGCATCCAGCTTCACGAACTTGGTATCCACATGCTTCGGAGCCAGAGCCTTCAAATGCTTATCCACTATCCTGCAAAAATGAACAAACAACAGCCAATAACACAAGTTTCGAATTCCCTTGAGCCAAAAAAATGTGAAGAGTGTGAAGTAAACAATAACATACTTGCAGCGATAAAACTCCTTGTGATAGAAGTGGCAAATGACTTTATCACCCTTCGTGACTTCACCCAAGAAATCCCCTTCAGTTATCTCCCTGTATTCTCCGTGTCCTTGCCTCTTTAGGGACTCTCGCTTCTCAGCTTCTCTCTATTTCAAGCACAACCCTATGGTGATTACTTTATAAACTTCAGAGAGCTCAGGATAATATCAAGAAAACAATAAATGATCTTTTAAGAGATTGCCAGGAGCTACTTGCTCACCTTCAGTGCAGCGATTCTGTCAGCGTGTAGTTTTTCTAGCTCTGGATCCTATAAATGGGAAGTAATCGAAATTAGCTCGAGACAGTGGGAAAGGTACCACAGAAGTTATATAGACAGATGCAGCAACAAACTTACGTCCATCAACTCATCAAGGTCAATCTCTTGGTTTGCAGAAGGCTGAGCCTTCTCTTGAGCAAGTATTTCCTGTAAAATCAACAACGAGGGATCCATCAAGGACTATAGTAGGCAATGGGCACCGGCTTATCAGGAATGATGGACTCAAAGTAGTCAACTCAATTGTTCATCAATCCTTTTGAAAGAGAAAAAGCCGCCTTAGCACAAAAGACGAGCATAAAGTTCAAAACTTTTGAAGTAACTAAGTCTGAACACACCAAAGATCAACCCGGCGAAGGAAAAACAAACAAGCCACTCCAAAGGGATGCAACAAAACAAATGATTCACTGATAATGTAGGAACATAGACTTTGCAGATAGACAAAAATTCCCCAACAATTAGAACAGAACGGTAAGTTCCACTCATCCTAGCTTCCATTGCATCTGGACACAAAACAAGCATAAAGTTCGAAACTTTTGAATTAACTGTACGGAAAGGCGCACCGAAGATCAACCAGGGGCCGGAGAAGGCAAACAATAAACTACTTTGAAAGGGATGCAGTCAGTAAATCATTCACGACAAACTTGGGAAAATCGGCATTGCAGATTCATAATCAAAGAGAAATGGTGAAAATTCTGAAAGTCCAAACCTTCTGGTAGTCGCGAGCCGCTGCCGCCATTACATTCCCGAAAGCTAAATTGGACAAAGTCGATTTCACTGAATCTGGATCCATCTCTCCACTCAGCACCTAGCTGAACAAACCATCACAAATACAAATTGGGAAAACCATCTCTTGGCCCAAGAAAATAGATCGCTTGATATCGCAATAGCATCTACGAATGGAATTCAACATCGAGATTCTAAATTCGAAGTCCTGACATCGGAACTAATAAATGGAACAAGCTTGGTTAGGAAAGAGATCGAAACAGCAAACCTTAAATGACGGCTGGTATTCTACGACTGAGAATCGCAGGAAACAACGGCGCCGGAGTAGGGTCTATGGAGAAGGACGGCGGCGAGTTGAGGGAAGAGTCGGTCGGAGATTTGGTAGGAAGGGTTTGCGAACTGGAAAATGAATTCGAAAAGAAAGAAAAGAATGGGACCCGGAAAAGATAAGAGATGACCCGATTAATTCCCGCTTCGAACAATGAACTATTATATATTTTTTTTCTTTTGAAGTTGTTGGGCCGAAAGTCCAAAATAATTTATGGTTCCATTTGGTCGTGGGATCCGCATTGGAGCCCAATTGAACCACAATGGCAACTCATCATAACTTAGTGCTCGTTTGGAAGTTATTGATTTTTTTAGGAATGGTTGTTTTGGTGAGATAGTTACTATACATGTATTATTTAGAATGAATCATTCTTTTGATTTTTTTAGCAGAAACAATAACATGGATTGTTTTTGTTATGTGACAAAAACTATCACTCAAATCGAGTGATTGTTATATCTCAACTCTTAGCAGTAATTGTTGAGTTGGAATTGTTTTGTCTCACCTTTTAGCTGAAGTGACACACAATCACACATACCGGACGTTGTATTTTACAATGCATCAAATTCTACTATACATGTAGAATATTGTACATACATTCACAACAACGAATCTGTTTAACAATCACAACTTCCAAGCGACCTCTTAGAAACAAAAACACAAGGATTTATTATCATGGTAGTTGATCGACGTGCGTTTTAATTATGAGATTAGTAATTTGAACTTCATTCACGACAATTTTTGTGTGAACATCTGTGAGGAGTGGCTAATTGTTATCGCCGATCGTGAATACCCATATGTTGTACAAGAAAATAAACCGTGATATAAGATAAAAAAAAATATGAATCCAATTCGTGTGAGTAGCATCCAAAATCTGAGTTCTAGCAATCCAATATGCTTGGACGTTGAAGTGTCGAGGTACGTAGAAGACCTCCATGAAGTTCGAGTGTGATAATGAAGTATTTTAATGGATGATAATGAAGTATTTTAACAAGAAGAGGGCAATCCCTTAGGTTAAGGGAGCATAAGTCCGGGGCGATTAAGATAGTTTTGCCTTCCGCCACAATTGTTAGTGAGAAGAATATAATTCTTTTATCCTGTTATAGAAAGTGAAATGATTTCCAAACTTTTGGATCTTTCTTTGCTTTGTTTTCATCACTAATTAATGTAAATTATTCATGAAACTTTGTGGGTTGCAGCTGGATGAAAATGACATTAGACAGAAAACAAACCCAGTTTAAGATCTTGCAAATATCTTTATACCTTCGTCCTTTCTTCCATATCCGTCGATTAGTTTTTAATAATAATGCAATTTGTGATAGTGATTAGTAGCTTAATAGTGTAATCATTATCTCGTCCTAATATTGGACCAATTTTAGTGCTCCACGTCGTTTTCATGCAACGTGCCATGAAGTTTAAAGAACCTTTTGTCCACTAAGCATCTCTAGTCTAGATAATAAATAAAAGCCGAATGATGAAAACTGTTGCTCCATTTCAAATTTCCTGCAACGAGAGTGATTATAGGAAGGACATTTTGGTCTTCACAATTGCTTATTTTCTTATTTATTTATTCATAAAAAATGCATGCACTGGGATTTGAACCTTGGTCTCTTTAAAGGCAAGCAAGGATCATAACCAATCACACTAAGTATATTTGTTGTATCTATTTAAATTCAAACATACACGAACCTAAATTATGAAAATCATATGACTTTTTTAACGATTAGTTGGCCACTGAATCTCCCGTAAGTACTTATTTGGTGTTTTAATACTTTGATTATTTTAGTTGTAGTTTAATACTTAATTTAAATTTCTATCTATTTTATAAATATACAATAACCCTAAAATTGCAGCCCAAATATCACTGGTTCGAATATTGCATATCGAATTGCAATATTAAACATGTAGAAGCAATATCGACTTCTTAAATTAATATTATTTTTCAGAATTACTATGGAGAAATTATATCTTTGTGCAAACTATATGAGACTGGTTCTTTTAATGTTTTAGTCGGGATAACCGCTACATTTTAAACTTCTTCATAATCTGGCATGATTGGATCCAATGATCATTATACAAGATTGTGTTTAATAGGGTGGCTCATTTCACCACTTTTTGGCGTGTTAATGAATTTGTAGGACAATGACAGGTCTACATCTACACTCATCACAATCTACACATCATATAAATGTGAAATGAGAAAAGAGGGATTCCATTTCAAATTTGATGCGTATAGAGCAATTTTTTAGGGGTAAATTTAGAAGATGCCAGTGCGGTCGGTCTGTTGAGCACGAAAGTAAAAATATGTTTTCATTTAAACGGGCGCAAACTGTTATTTGGCCCACTAATCGTGCACCCATCGCCAATGCAGTCAAATTCGGGATTTTGATCATAAAATCGTAGGATTTTAGGATTTTACTTAGGGATTCCGATCTTGATTTTACTATAAAATCGGTGGACCTTAAAATTGTTTAAAATCGGGACTAAAATCATTAAAATCGTAAAATAGTATCGAAATCAGGATTTTGATCGTAAGAGAACAAAATAGGTGGTTTGAGCCAATTTAAAATAAGTATAACTGTTTCAGCGGAAAGAGAAATGGAATCTTCTCAGATATTTTTCTATTAGAAAAATATTCAAAAATAATAAAAATAACCAAATTAGGGTTCGGTTAATCTCTTTCCCTTCACCCCATTTAACTTATTGGTAAAACACATGTCCTAATATTGGAAGTATGTAAGAACTAACATCATTATTAACTAATTAATTTATTAATGAATATATTTGTACCAACCCACTAACATTACTTATTTTATTGGAGTTCAATTATTTTTAGTTTTAAATCATACTTAGTAGACGATGTCGAAATATTACTTTGAGTTAAACAACCTAGACATAACATGAAAATAAGAGCCAAACCCATGAACTATATCTCTTCATCATGAATTATTTTGAGTTACACATTAAATAACAATTAAAATAGTGATTTTGGAACATTAATCTTGAGAATTATCTTATGGAAAAAAAATCTTCCGAATTATCATTTTAAATGCTATGTGTCTTTGTGATATTAATAATTTACCTTATTAATATTCTTATATGCTATGTTCTATATGGTACTTAAAATCCTACGATTTTACGATTCGATTATACGATTTTGATTTTACCCCAGTTTTCGATTTTAGGTAAAATCTCGATTTTAACTGCTTTGCCCATCGCAGCCTCTCCAAATCTTCCTATTCTACTCGCCGGGTCATCTCATCCACTACAAAATATCTCCTCATGTACTCAAAGTTCTCACTGAAACCTAATATCTATAACTAAGGCGCAGAGGGAGCAACCGATGGATTGTAGCGACCCCCACTATTTTGATAGCTAATCAAGAAGAGCGCGTTTGTTTAGTTGTATGGTGATTCACTTAATTAACAATTTTAATTCCGTTGACAGCCTCCTCTCCGCAATTGTATTGTGTTCACGAAGATCTGAAGGCGCAAGTGCAACAGGTCCAGGGGTAAACAATATGTATAAAGCGTTGGCCAAATTGAATTGAGTCATTCTACTTGGAATATGAAGATTTTTGCTTAATTGCTTTGGTTCGTGATGCAACTATGTTATGTTTGAAGGTAGACCAACGCAAACAACAGCACAGCTCCAGGGCTATTATGCACATTAGGTAGTTGGGGCATTAATTGATAATTATTTGGGATTATTCCTACGAGTACATAATTTGGAACGTGCCTTTATATTGCATTGATTAATAGTTGTTTGAGATTTTTCAAATGAGTGATTTGACATGTTAAACTCTTTTTTTTTTTTTGAAATGGAGTCTTCGAAGTGGAATATGAAGATTTTGGATTAAGCTTGGTTTCGTAACGCCCTTATGGGTGTTTATTCTCTAAAATGCAGTTGTCTTTCAAAGTGCCCATTGCAAATGGCAAGTCAGGATACAACGATGGTACCGGTACACGTTTATATCATTAGTAGGTAGCAGATTGTGTCCATTCTACTAAATCATTTAGCTAAATACTTAGTTGTTCTTTTCAACTAAAAATTATGCTTAAATGCTGTGATTGGCCTCAGAAATGTATGTCTTTGCATTAACTGTTAATGATCGTGAGTTTTGGTTTAATGGTGAAAAGTCCATTTATTTAGAAGTCTAAATTGGGCAAACCTATTGGACAATAGGAATGCCATACATTAGTGTCGTGGGAGGTTTGTTTGATGTCTCAGGGTGTTAGATTTTTAAGAAGGTTGTTTGTTGTGGCAGAGAGTCCCTAAAGCTAGCGAGGTATTCCTATGTGGGCTTTTTCTTTGTTTGACTTTTTCTCGCCTTTTTTCTTATCTCTTTTTCTATTTTTGGTTTTTGTGTGCTACCTTCAGTTGCTACGTCTTCATTTGTGAGCCATCTATACTTTTCTTATTCAGTGCCTAAAAATCATATATACTCGATTGCATAGTAGTTACTAATAGATACATTTATATCAATAGAGAGATTTTAAGTTTTATCAGTTGTTAGTTTTAATATTTACTTACATTGGTTGTTTATGTAGTTTTCTTTGTAATATTTCTCATTATACAACTAATTACTATGGCTACGTAGTTGTATAAGTGGGGGTTGGACATGATAGTTCTTAGAAGCATCAATACTTGAAGGTTATTATAATGACCAAATTCTAAAGTTATGGTTTGCCTTCAACTTGCTTGGAGCATTTCAATTATGCATCAATTGTTCTCTCCGTGTAGTTAACTCTCAGACAAATCGAAAATCTTGCTGATATGTGCTTGATTGTAGTTAAGTTTAGGGTTCTACTGCATTGTTGCTTTACTCTTTTTTCGTGGTTGAGTCTGCTTCAAAAAATTTAGTTTGATTTTAGAAAATTTTGCTTCTGCAGTCCTGTCTTGCCACCAACGCGTTCAATAGATGGAGACGGGAGAGGCGAAGGCTATTTTTGTGTTGTTGTTGCTGGTTTAGGGATCGGTTTGTGAAGAAGAGGGAGAAGAGAGGGGGGAAGGGAAATGCAGGAGAGGGGGATAACTCTTTTCTCCGACAAAAATGGAGTGAAGAAAGGAATTATGATCAGTAAGAATATGGTTATCTTACATAACGGTCTCTATTCTGTTTGAATTGAGCTTGAGAGGCAGTGAT